ATACAAATTTAAAAATAATATCTAAATAATATAAGTTACTATCATCAATTTATATAAACTACATAGTACTCCAATGATAAACAAACTTCCATCAAAATCAAAACGCTACATTGAATTGGATATCCTTTAAAAATTTATTGCAATTTTTGGTTCTGTCAGATATAATTTGTAGAAGTCTAGATGAAAAGTTTCGATCGGATCAATAATTATGTAAGCAAAGTGAAAACAAAATAAAAATTTCACATTTTAGAAATGAAATTATATATTGTAAATAAATTTATTTAGGTATAGATTTACCCAATATTCATATTTGGCTTGAGAATCAATTAATCAAAGAATTATAAGAAAAAAGAATGAAACAATCAAAGAGAAGAAGGAAAGTACTAGAGTCTAAATTTAAGAAGGATCCCAATTATTTTTAATAAAAGTGTTGGAGATTGAGTCATATATTTTACCGAAAAAAGGAAAAAAATCATATGAGAACCATATGATTCTCAGCGTTTCTCATACTAAGATCGAACCGGAACCCGTTGGTTCTTAATAATTTGTCCTGAAATCAAATTTTTTTTAGAAGATCCGGAACCGAACCGGCCGGTTCTAAGTAGTTCAGGTCCGATTCCATCATTTCCGGGAAAAAATGTCCACTCCTACCAAATCAAGTTATCCATTTTTTTAGTTGTTTGCTATACTTTATGAACCATGCTAGAAGTACAACATGGCCAAGTGGCTGCCCCCTATTGGAGGGAGATTTTGATACTTGTACATCGGGTGTACCGATCCCTCACAACAAAAGGGGGCTCACGATGAATAAAAAAACCATGGACCCCCTATTGTGAGAGAGTCGGTCAACCTCAGTGTACGAGTAGCATGGTCCATTGGAGGGGCTATTGTCCCCTGTTGTCAACCATGTTGTACATGAGTTTGTACAAATAGAATAATCCGTATTTTATTGATGTTGTGTTGTTTTGTCTTTTACTCGAGTCTCAATTTTCTAATCAGGTAACTCAATATATTATTTATTTGTTAACTTGCTGGAATTTATAGCTAATTGTTACGGTCTTATTCTGATTTGTTGGACACTCTTAAATGCTTATCTGAATTATGTTTTTACATCAATTAAAATATCGCATTTATTTTTTTGTTTTTCAATTTGCTTATTTGAAAGTATTCACTGGCTATTTTCCCCATCCAATTGATAGTTTAGTGAATCTTTATTATTGTCATAATAAACAACATATTTACTTTTTCCAGATAACAACGATAATACATAATTCTTTCTGAGGTAGTTGTGCTTATGCAAGTTTTGAGGCCAAGTTTAGTGATATTTCAGATTAATATTTGTTATTTAACCTGTTGGGTATATATTTTTGTTTGCTAAACTGTTACTCTAAATTGAATCAAATCGAAAAAAGTGGTTTGGTTTGATTTGACGAAATTTCAAATCGTTTTAAGTAATTTGGTTCGAAACTTCTCCAAATCAAATCGTATTCATCTCTACTTAAAATTGACCCACAAAACAGAAAAATGAAAATGAATTAAAAACTTAAAACAGAAACGCAAGCTAGACGGGCATAGTTATTTCAACTCTCTCTATTACGCTAGGTGTCTGTTTTGGTAAAGCTTTTATTTATTGAAAAGCTGATCAAATCTTGTCAGATTGTATTTTTAATCACATTTTAAACTCACAACTTTAATCCATTTTTTACCAAATATTTCATAAGACCAACCAATTTTTAGTAACACCACGTAATCCTTAAAGAATAATGTTATGTTTACACTCCAAGGCGTAAACACAGTCTTACACTTTCTCACATAGATGGGAGCTCACATATATATAGGTTATAGTACATGTACATTATGGTATTCGTAAGTGTGTTCATAATATACAAGTGACATAACATCGTTGAAGAGTTAAGAAACAATTTTTTCAATCATCTAATAATAGAATTTCACATATATATTATGGACACCCTTATTAATACCATAATGTACATGTAGAATTATTTCATATATTTTATTGTGTGTGGACTCCTTTTATGAGAGAAAAATGTAAAATCGAATGTAAAAGATTATGTATACGTAGTATTGTCCATCCCTAAAAGTTCGTTCAGATATCTTTCCTTTCACCATAACCATTCTCCAATAATTAATTAACGTGTGTGGGGTCTGAGGTAAATTACTTTTCCAAATTTCATTTTTAAAAATTATAATTTTATTTCTCAGAAAAGAAATTGCCCCACAATGATTAAATATATTGAGGACCATATGCAGGGTGACAGCTTATCCTGCAATAATGAAGAGTAACTCTAATGTGGACAAATTTCAATCAACGACATTCCCTAATTTTGACTAAACCTTGATATCCACTGCTCACCCCCACAAAATAGTACATGCAATTTTAACCACCCACGTGTCCGTCCCATTTGATAATCATATAATCTTGAATTTATCTGCTTGTATTGTGCTGCCAGAATTTCACTAGATGCTGCCGTGATAGAATCTGCTTGGTCTACCTTTTTTTCCGCCATTGTCCTACAAAAATCTGTAGTGTAAATTTCGGTAGAATTTTTCCGTACACATATCAAGCTTGTATTAAAAAAAAAATAAAAAAATTGAACCCCAACTTTAAGGGTTTCCCACATTTCCATCCCTATAGTATTGTAAAAGAGGTTAATCGCGGAATGTGCCCCAACAAGTCAGGGAACAAGAGCTACTTGTACACTGGTGCTCACAAAAAGTCATAATCTATGTTTTAAGAATCGAACCCTCACACTAAGGCTACCAACAAGGTTAAGTATACATCACCCTTATCCTTTGCACCACTGGGATATACCCCGAGGGCACATAGCAAGCTTGTATAAATTTAAGGTGGGTTGAGTTGTTCATTGAGCAATCCTTAAATTAGTAAAATCATAAAAATAAATGATAAACTATATTTATAAATTGTTCAAATACGTGAATTAAAAATGACTTATACTTTGAGGCAAATATAGACTAAATAACTTGGTAATTGTTTGCTTGCTTGTCTCACCAATGCGCCTAAGCCAACATTGACAAGCACAAGGTTTCTCATTTAATTCATTTCATGTCAAGTATCTCTATCCAAAGTTAACAACTAATGACTACATTGTCACATGTAACTCCTGATCTCCACTAAATAGATGAAATTGACCATTAGAGAGCCCAAGTCAATGTCCCTAATCTAAGAGCATTTTAACAATATAAATTATTAAACATGTGATTACTAAAATAGAAATTGAGAGAAGATATAGACATCCCAAATGGATTGTGATTGCACTAATTTTGGGTTATTGTTACATGAAAGAGTGGAGACAGATTAAAAAAAAATTAAGTGGACCCATCCTCTCTTAGTATGGAACTCAAGTACACTCTACTATTGTTAACGTATTATTTCTTGAATATGAAGTGCTCAATACTCACTACTGAACTGACATTTATTATTTTTAGAGTCGCTATATTCATCCATCATTTTAAAATATGTGTTCACGTTTAAAAAAATTTCTATATGACATGTTAATTTTATGTAAATTTACTTAGATGAGAATAAAATCAATTACTTTAAATTCATCCACTAATAAAGCTTACTGAAATGCTCCTCTGGGAATTATTGAAAAAAAAAAAAAAAAAAAAAA